CCATTGACACTGTACGTATAAGAAACAAATGAATAATAGACTTCTATTTGAATTATAAATATTAAATGGGGGTTTATGTACCTACCTCCCATTTCTGTAGGTACACAGTTAAGTGACAATAGATAGCGGGACTTGAAAGTGTACATAAAGATAGTACAAGTCACATAAGTGTAGATACAACATTGTAAATGTGCAATTAAACCGAGTTTGTGTAACTAAGTCTACTTGATAAATGAGTAAATGACAATACGTCATTATAAATAATATATATGGTGTAGGAATTTAATTGGCATCCGTACTTACGACTGTCCGTCTGTACGATTAGATACAATAAAGGTAATATAAGGAAAAGCGTACCCATAATGCTCAATGGTATCAATATCGCAAACCTTTTTAGCTATAGAGGCATAGAGCAACAAAAAAAAGTTAATTCATCCTCTATTCAGTTTTTACCGTCTTTAGTACGGTTTGTTCTGAGTTTCTGAATTATACAGAATATAATAGATATACAAGACGCCTGTACCAGAATCTGAACTTTTGAAATTTTCCAACATCTTCTACCTACGCGTCTGTTTTGCCTCATCCATCTGGTTAGAAATTGCATCGCCATCAATGTAAGTAAAAAACAGATAAACTGAGCGAAAAATATCAGCTACCTATGTATTATAATGATATTATATCCTATACCATTGTACAAACACAGCCTGGCCTCGAATTTTGAGTACCTACGGGAAAAGTATTAGGTTGAAAATACAAGTACGAATTTTGAACAGCCCTAGTGCACGCGATCTCCGCTGGTGCCTGCTGCTGCGTCCGGCGCGGTGGCATTGACCCAAACTACAATAACGGACATCAGCCGCCGAATTTGAGTGTACTGTGCATTATATATTAGTATATTACTATGCATTTTTTTTATAGAATAAAATACCATCGTGGTATTGTACATTGAACACATTTTATCATAATGACGACGGTGGGTCGGTCCGGTCGGTGTATAGGTACCGATGACGTGGTTAGGAATTATATTTAAAAGCATAGGTAGGTACCTATTTGAATTGTAGATGCTTTTAAATTTGATATTTTGGCACTGTAAGAAGATTGATTTTTATAGATGGAAGTATATGGAACGTATCTTGAGGCTTTTTCGTTGGTACCTACCTACAATACATAGTTCAGAAACTAATCGTATTCAAACTCGGATTTACGTTATTATTAGAAACATAAATCAAAATATATAGTCCTAAACCCAGCAGGTATCTTTTATGTAATATTATTTATGAGAATTCGCGAGTCCCCATGTACCTACCCCATTTCCTATTATCAATAAAATAGTATAGTATGATAAAGGGTCATTAAAAAAACACTAGGTAATAATATTATATACCTACCTAGTCAAATGTATTTATAAATACGCGGCTGTCCTACTCTTAAATGTGTTGGTCGTATTGCGATCTCAACGAAAACCGAACTTTGGCCACCACCGACGTGTGTTATGTAATATTATATGTTTACGGTGTGCACTCTGAGCGTGGCCAGCGATCGGCTGCACAGGGTATAGTGTTATAGTATAATAATGTTATGTATCATCGTACAATGCGCGCGCGCAAGCGTCTCCGACGGTCGTCACGACAACGCCGCCGGTAACTCTCGTCGCGCGCGGTCCCTATTCCGTCGAAAATGGATTTCCCGGCGGCATAACGCCACCAAATACCCACACGGATTGTATATATATATATATGGGACAAGATGTCTCTGAGACTGAGATCGACGTCACCCTATACGTACACGTTTTCCGATGTATGTGCGTGGCACAGCTCTGACGGTGGAAATCGCGTTCGAGCCCTGCGAACTAACCGCTCAAATCGTCAAATTCTCCCTCCGTCCGTCCCTGCGGCTATATCGCGCCCCTATATTATATCGTCTGGCAAACCGCGGCTAAACGCCACTTCGAATCCTCCTGCTGCGGGGTCGTTAGCCTTAGTCCGCTCGAATAGACCATTCGAATATAATATATAAGAGGAGTTCCCCGCGGAGGGGCGGCGTACTATTATTAATATATACTTCTACGAAGACGTACTTTATTGGTCTTATGAGTACCCCGAGAAAAAAAATTTAATTTTTCTTATAAATTCCTATAGTACTACAAGCTTATTTCCTCACTTCACGATGGACATTCGTAATTTCGTAAAACAATATTATTCCTAAATTGTGATCTCGTATGAGTGCCATTAAGTATAGATACTGTTTTTATCATTCTCAAGAGATAAGTTTGCAGTTTTTATATTTTCATTATGTAACTTGCAATATTTAAGAAAACAATAATGTTAAAAATCACAACAATTAACTTTTAAAATGAATGCTTCAGAATTTTGAACGGATCACCTTGTATATGCTCATTAAATTTAAAGCGATAGGTACCACAAATTAATAAAATAACGTTTTTCTTGTCTGGCCTGATGAGCAAAAAGTTCTTGGCTTCAGTGCTATTGGTAGTCGGTAACCTACCTACGAGTTTTAAGTTGTGGAACTAAATACTGTTTATCTTCTAATGCAACTGTCGTTCTACGTTATTATAAATATACATCACTCAAATTCTAGTACCGTTGGGAATCATTTTACCATAGAAAATTATAATAGAAATTAAATTGGTAGCTTTCGATAAGTACCTATCTAAGGTATCATAAAAATAACTCAAATTGTTCTAAATATCGAAAATATACTTTGAAACTCTATACATTCTTACAGTAACCCGGTAACCGCAATAAAATTAAATGAAGTTGTACATATTGTTACCCCATTAAAATGGCCTTTCCACTGACTGTTAAAAACGATTAAATTTGAGATTTGCAATTTTCTATAGTTATTTTGATACAAACGTTTATGCATTGGTATTACTTAACATAAAAAAACCAAACAATTTGTTAGGTACCAAAAATATGAATAGTACCTAATCAATATGCATTATTAAAACTCTTAAGAAAATAACACTATAGATACTGCAGAATAAGTAAACTTTAAAATTTCTGCGAACAAGACAAAACTCGTTGTAATAGTTAGGTAGGTTCCTATATCAATAGGTTCAAAGAAACCACGGTAAATCCTGCACGATGGGGTCAGGAGTGGAAGTGCAGCATTGTATTTTAAATTTTTAGGTTTATTCTCGTGTAAAGCTACGCTCGGGAAGGCATTGCAATACCGGTTTATTGATCAAAAACAAAACCCTAATGATGAAAATAAAAGTACCTACTCCTCTGTGTTCTCTCTGAAGTTGATTATTTATAGTCATCGTCTACCCTGTACATCCATTTAATATATTATACACACCGCGGTAATAGTATAAACTATAAAGTATACTACGTCGTGTACTCGTGTGCGGTCAATTAATATCAAAAAAATAAAATAAACGCTTGAATTGCGTGCAAAACGATTTCCTGCGCAAACAGTTATGGATTTTTCAGGTGCTTTAATTGCGCGATCAGATTAATTTGAAAATTAAAAAAAAACCATCGGTGGAAAGCACTCTATTGGTATATGTAAGTATATAACCTCCAATGACCTCCTTCGAAGAACTTCGGGGTAGCATTGAAATGGCTTTTAACACGTCCACTCGACCGACGCCCGTTTGAGTTTTACGAGTGTGAAATAGAGAATAAATAATAAATAATATGACGAAAAGGGTGTGACCCGATCGGCTCCAGAGAGATAGGAAAAACACGGTTTTTTCAATTACGTTAATTCGTCGTATGAATACAGGCACCTATTTATTATATACCTACTTACATAGTACATACATATATATATTATATATATATGATATATTTATAATATATAAACGGAAAACGGGGAAATTATATTATTTTATAGAAAACAGGTGGCCGGAAGAGAACGTGCGTTGGAAAAGTTCGCGGTCACCAGTACAGTCTCGACTCGACCCCCTCCCCGAACATACCCCTTACCTACACCGTATAGCGTCTTATTTATTGTGTTTCCGTCAGAACATTTTCACACTATAAAATAGTGTATATACAGATCGTTTTTATATTTTTTTCGTAAATCGTTTTTACCTTCCACCTCAGATTTATCCGTCGAACACAGTGTACTCGCCCTCGGGCAAAATCACGGACGAGTAGATGTACCTATATATCGTGTCCTGATGCTGCTATTGCACTGTTTGATCGGTCGGCCGTGTACTTGGACTGTGAAACGGCAATATATCCAAATATCCAATGTGCTTGAAATTCCTGAAATGAAATTTCTCACTCTGAATAATGTATACGCTATAATATTTAGTTATTATCAGCCGCAATAGCTATCGTCGTCTGGCACTGGCCGTGACTATATTATAGCTGGTACCTACTACTATAATATAATAATAAATATAAGTTGGTATAATATATTATTATAATATTATGGTACTATTATCTACATCATCGCTATCGTAGTGCAGTTAATCGCACGATATGATTATATAATAACGATCATTTAAAGTTACGAGTCATATTATAATATCATAGTGACGTTTGTACGACGGCTCGTCGTCAGCAGTCTGTGGCCGAGAAGTCGTCATTATATAAATAATGTTACGTTTTGGCGTACTTACAACTATACCGCAGCACATACGTATATTACTATATATAAAATAGGTAAATATTATAATATATACGACGCCGGTTTCGGGTGCGGCACAAGCTATAATAATAACAAGGACTCCTAAAATAGGTATAAACTTGAATCATATTGAAGTATATGACGCGTAACATTTTTAATATATTTATAAAATAAACTTACGCGATCTCGGGCGGATATCAATTAATATTGGCGACGGTTTCCGTGTCTGTGCGCCTACAGTCCGTCGTCCCTGCAGCCGCGGCCGTCGTTCGAGTCTCACTGAAAACGTTTGCAAAACGAAACTCGCGGGGCCGACTTGTGTTCGCGTGCGCGCGTGTGTCTGCAGTGTGTGAGTGCGCGCGCGTGTGTGCGCGTGTGTTGGTTCACCGCGGATGAGATGCCGTGCCCGGTCGCCGTCGTCGTCGCTCGTCGTTCGCGCCCTTCGGAACGGGCGCGGCGGATGTGTGCGAGGGCTGCCGCCGCCGTTGCAACCCGCCGTTGTTCGCACACCGCTTTCCACCACCGCCACCGACCCAGCAACGCCGCTGCAGGTGGAATCAATAGCCGAACTTGAAGGGGGTGGAAATGGCGACGGTCACAGTGGCGGTGATGACGGCGAAAGCGGTGGTGGTGGTGGCGGTGGCGGCGGCGGCGGCGGTACTTTTCCCTTTTATTTCCCCGCCGCCGAACGATTCGCCGGCGGGAGAGAGGTTATCCGTGGCAGATAGGGCGGCCACACCCTTCGGACACACGCGACCCTTGTACATACGAACTCCACCACCTCCTCCCCGACTATGCCCACCCCTCTACGACGGCCGTCGCCACCACTGCCGAGTCTCCATCCTCTGTTGCAGGCATTCGGCGTGAATGAAAATATTATGACTGTACGCGCGCACTTTCCGTCAGCGGTGGAGGCCGTCCCTTCCATTATTCATAATTAATTTTTCCGACGTGGCGAGGGGAGGGCGAGATTTCGTCGGGTGATATTTCGCCGACGGAATCCCTGCGGGGTACTGCAGCAAGCTCAGACCCCTCTTGGCTCTTACATTATATACATCACGACAGGCATTGTGTACTGCACGCGTATATAATACTCAATACCTACTTATATACATTATATTGTGCTGAGCGTGCAATAGTATATAATTTTATAATATGTACCCACCTATATAACGTCAGATATTATATTATTATATGAAGTTAAGTTAGGTAACCTAACCTTACCTATATTAGTATATATTGTAAGTGCAAGTACTATATATTAGGTATATGGTATATATAGGTAATAATATAATATTAATTTAGTAGTTAAAAGTTATAACAATTAAGAAGTTATACATATAGGTAGAATAGTATAGTGGCAGTAGTAACGCTAGTGGTAGCAATTTATATGAATGTTTAATATTACAGATTCTACTGCACACATTGAAGTGTAACCATGATTGCAGATTGATCGACAAGGGACAACGTTTCTGGGTTATTTTATTATTTGATATTAGGTATCATCGACCCTTCTAATAATACACCAAGCACGAGTATTCATATTCATGCCCAGATTAATAAAATGTAGTCAAAACAACATTGATAACTCTATAATATAGTCTATATATCATAAAATCAATAGGAGGGATAAAAAGTAAAAATTAATTGTTTTGTTAAAAATTCTGCAGAGGAGACCGTCAATAACTTTGACTGCGACTGTCATTACTCATTATGATACGATAAACAACAATAACGGTCATACAATATGATAACTGGTAAATATCCACCAAGACAACGATAACTAACTTATTCTGGGATGGCATAAAAAAAACATAACGTATAACAATTAACAATTACATTATAAAACATTTTAAAATACTATTGACAATGATGATCACCAGCAAAACATTAAGAAAGTTTTAGCTTAATAAAATTATTTAAATTAATTAGTAGCTAGTCGTAGAATACACCGTTTCTGATAGATAAATACAAGGGTATTATACATTATAGTTGTTTGGTGGGTTGCATACTATGCACAAGTACCATTACATTTTGTTTCAATTAACTTTTAGATTCTGAGTGGAACGATGAATGTATTGATTTTACAATGATGTGTGTTTTTTTTATTTTTGTGTCTGTCATCAAATTTTAGGACAGTAAAAAAGCTTAGATTTTCTTCAACAGTATCTTTTCTGATAGGAAAGTGAATCTAGTTGGTACTTTAGGGGGGTCAAAAGTAAAAATTTCATAGTAGTTTTCAAAAGCTCCGTGAAAAACAAAAAAAATTTAAGGAAAAACGAGAATTTTTATGCAAGATCTGTTTTCGAAAAATTCTATTTTTGTTTTTGGTGCAACTCTTAAACAAATGGTCGTAGGTACATGAAATTTTGACTGAATGTTTATATTAGCAGTTTCTATATACACCATAACATTTTTTAAATATTTTGACTTATATTAAACTGCTTACGGACATTTTCAGTTTCCATTATTTTTAGTTTTTTTTCTATAAATATCAATAACATTTTTTTATTTTTTTAAAAAATCTTGAAAATTTAATAGAATGCTCCTAGTATATTGTTTCAAAGGCAGATAAAAAAAATTAAAAAACCATAGTCACGATTTTTTTTATAAGCATTTAAAGTTCAAATACTGACAATATACTTAAAAATGACTAAAATTTGCAAATTTTTATTTTTAAATCTAAGATTTGTAAATATAATACAAGATTATTCATAAGTTTGTCTATCTTTATCAAATAAAAAAAATGTCTTCAAGCAAATCAAATTAAATTTTTATGAGCGTTTTAAGTTTATATATTTTTACAATATTCACTCGATTTCTCATGAACGATTTTGTAATTGTTGTTATTCAAAAACGAATAGCTGTAGGTACACGAAAATTATACTGAATGTTTATATTTTCATTTTCTATACACCATCAAATTTTGAAAATATGTTGACTCTTTTTGAGCTGCTTACGAACATTGTCAGTTTTCAATTTTTTTAATTTTTTTTTTTTCTATAAATATCAATAAAATTTTATTTGTTGGGTAATAAAGCTTCAAAATTCAATGCAAGGCTCCTGATATATTGTTACAATAGCAGTTGAAAAATATTGAAAATACTTATTCACATTTTTTTTTTACAAGCATTTAAAGTTCGAATTTTGACAAAATGTATTAAATTTAAAATTTAATAGTTATTTTTTAGTTAAAAATGTATAAAATTTTCAACTTTTATAGCTAAGGATTAAAAATTTAAAACAACGTTCTGCGCGTAAATAGGCTATCTGACCGTTTTCGCTCAGAATAGGTTTTCGTATACAATGATATTATATCATTGAATTCAAATTTAACACCATCCATTACAGTAACCCACTGTACAGCAAAGCGACATTCACTACCCACCTTTTTTTATTAGATTATTGCAAATCATTAAGGCATATTTATCGGATGCCTAATTTAGTTTTTTTTTTTGACTTATAAAGACGATTTGATTACCTACAGCTAACTTTTCTAAAAAATGTAAAAATTAAATGTATATTTTATATAGTAATGACTAATGATATTTTCAACAACATTATTCATTATTTAACGTCGACAAATCCTCAGAATATCAGTAAGTATTATAATTAATATTTTTTTTTTTTAATAAAACTCATTCTGACGATGAATTTATTAAAATTAAACAAATATTTAATAGGTTGATGTGAAAAATTTACTATATTTTAGTTCCGAACTATAAATGTATAAAATACGGTATATGTAACATTTCGACACGCCCATAAGTAATATAAAATAATAATAATAATAATAATATGTGTACCGTAACGTTATATCCGGTCTTACGCATTCCTTTGATGATTTCGGAATTGAATCGGTCAATTAAAAAAAAAAATTTAATTAAACTCATCTGTGTACCATTATAATATTATAATATCTGTCAACACTCGCAGTCGACAGTCAAGGCGCCGCGGTACGTTTCCGTCAAGCACACGCGACACACATGACACATTAATCACTATAATATGAACAAATGCTGTTAAATACTTTATTTTCATAAAAAACGTTCATGGCTAAAATCCATATATAACAAATATTCTGAGTGTGTATATTCCCATATTATAGGGATAGCCAGATAGGACAATCGATTGTTGAATATAATATATTAGTTAGTTCTAGCGTTAATTGATTGTAAATTCTGTATATTCTGAGTTATTATAATATTGGTTCTTTCACTAATTCTTCAATAATATTGCTTACGCGTTCGTTAAATGACAAAGTAATTAAGTAAATATTATAATATGTGTGCTTCTATCTGAGTTTAGTAGTATAATTTTTAACTCTATTTTGGTGGTTTTTCCAGTGGCGTTAAAATATTATTGAGAAAATCGAAAAATGACATCTTTAAAGTACCATCTTGATCCAATTTTCTAAAAGAAAAGATACTATATATTGAAATAAAATTACTATTTCTGGTAGAAATTTTGTTTACAGGAAAAAAAAAAGAATAAATATCATTGTGAAACCACTATAGCTTCCTCGCTCCACTAAAATAAATCTAAAATATTAATATAATATACAGTAATACATATTTATTATTTATGGTATTGTTTTTTTTTTTTAAACGACGCATTGGCGTCGGGAAGTAGTTGTTCTAAGATAGTTAAATTAATAAAAATATTGTTATATAAATTATAGGTAGAGCCGTAAAGGTACATGAAAAATAATATTAAAGTTTTTTACTACCTAGATATTTATACATTATTATAGTACTATTATTTGTTCTTGCTAGTTGAGAATTTAGATGAAACATGATCTTTTCTATTTAATTGAAAATCCGTATTTCGAAATGAGTTTTTTAAATATTTTTTATAACATTTTTTTCGTGCATACTTTGATATTTTTTCTTCAGTAGATATCTTTTCTTTATTTATTTATTATTTTTCTTATAACACTGTTTATTTTAAACATAACTAGAAATAAAAATTCAGAGGCTAGTGTATAATATTTCACCCAACCTGAAGCGTTAATAACCCGATAAAAGTGCATTCACTATCATATTTGTAATTACCCATCGTATATAGTTATTACCACAGATAATATTAAATTATTACCTACTGGCCATTATCCAACCACCACCCCTTGAAAACTTCAGAGACGATAACCTCAAGATTACCCCATTCGCCACGCCACAGATGGTGCAGTCATTTACAGGATTTACATATTTTTTACAACAATTTACAACATCACACAATAATTATGATCACACGGCGTATTGAACAGGCAATTTAGCGACACCACTGTAGAGAATTAATTTTTGTATCATAGCTTAGATTTTTTAATGCATTTCAATTTTCAAGTAGACATATTCAACTACCAAGCATCTTTTAGTGTTCAAAAATTGAACTTCAAATATTTATCGAAACAGACTTTCTGACCATGATAGTTCGAAGACCAAAATATATTTGTACAATTCTTCAAAAGTTATTTTAATAATTTATAATGACTATTTAGTATTTACTATTTAGAAATAATTAGACTACCTATTTAGAAACCGCGCGCGTACCTAAGTTAATTGCTAATTTTCTTATTATATTCACTGTAACGGGAAGAATCTATTTTGGGTAAACCCATGGTAATAGCCCACATATCTATTATTAATTAAAACCTAATTATTATTGAGCCGGTCGTCGTTCGAATATTATATTATATTGTTGTAAAAGGCTCGAATCACCGTAAAAATAT